TATTATTAGTAGCATCTCTTCTTGAAGTACCTTTTGTAAGATGAGTTTTATAACACATGGTCATTTGTTCTATGAAATTGATAATTTGATATTCGGTAAGTCCATCGAGATTCCATTCGACACCGGAATTACCATTATATGATCTTTGAGGATTAGCTTTTTCTTCAAAAAGCTGGTCTGGAAATGAAGGACGATGATAAAATTTTGGAATATTTTGATAATCAGATTTTCTTAATTTATTGATTGAATCAAAATTTTCATTAATAAATTGAGATTCTATCTCATCAATGGTATTAATATTTTTTGAAACATGAAAATTTTTTAATTGGTAGGCGAGTTCAGAAAGAATTTCACTTTCAATTTGAAGAGTGGAAGGTTTTCCAAATTGAGGAATAATATCATTGCTTTTAAAAATTGGAGAGGAAAAGGATGATGCTTTTGATAAATTCTTATTTTTACTATTACTTTCTCTAGATTCTTTAGAAGAATCTTTTTGAGAAGTAATATACTCAGATTCAGAATTTAATTCGATCCGATTTAGCTGAGAGCACATTGATTGAAGAACAACAATAGTATAATTGTTCTGAGATTGAATATTTTTAATATCTTTGGCAACAATATGAGATTCATGAGATCGTTCTTTAGGAATCCTTTTGAGTGGGGATGCAAGAATTTCAATTTTTCCATGAGGAATAACTATTTCTTGCATACGAGGATGAGTTGATCGGAAAGTATTTCCTTCTGGAGTTTTCCAAGTATTGACATAAGTTTTTTAAGTAAAATTCTTTGTTTTTCTGGCTTTTTACCAAAAATTTTGAATTGAATCCATTCATAGAAACATAAATCAGTAGACGATTTAAAATAATCTTCCCAATAAGATTCTTTTTGTTTTGAAGAAAAACTTTCTCGAAAAAGTCTTCTAAAATTTTTGACACAAATGCTTTGGTCATGTTTGAATTCTTTTCCTCTATTAATTTCAGAAGAAATAACATTACATTGATTATCAAGATTGGAGGGAGGAACCATATCTGAAAAAGTTGGTGATTTTCTTTTATCATCGTCTTTTTCATATTCATTTTGATAATGAGATTTTGGAATAATAGGAGTAAAATCTGCTCCTTTATATGAAGATTGATAAGATGATCTAGGTCTTTCTTCAGACCTAGTAGAAAAAGATTTAGCATAATAAGATCTTTGAATCTTTGAGAATGAACCTTTGAGTAGAATCTTAGCTTTTCCATCTGGAAAAGTAAGAATTTGATTTGGAATTGTTCTAGTTTGAGCAGGATCAGGTGCTTGAACATTATCAAAATTCCATTCGAGTCCACGAGATTGAAGATTCCATAGAATTCTTTTTGGAATTTTGACATTTGAATGGAAAGGATTAACTTCAACTTAAAGACTTTAGTCTCTTGGTGAAGAATGAAGAGCTCCAATATTAAATTGAGTATTCATAAGCTTATAATATACTCTGTATATTACATCAAAAGCATTCGATCTACTATCAAATTCAAGATTTTTAGTTTGAATATGAAGATTGAGAGAATTGAGAATTGCTCCATCAGTAAGTTTGATTGAGAAATTTGGATAACAGTTTGAAAATATTGGACCACTTTCAAAATTTGATTCTAGAAGTGAAAGTAATGAATTTTCAAAATTGAGATGTCTCTTGTCTCTAAGAGTAATAAGAATTGGAAGATCAAGACAAAGTCTAAACAAAGGCTTGACTGCTATTTGAACTAATCCAACATGAAGATATTTAAATTTCTTCTTGTGGGATTCAATAGCTTCTTTAGTAAGTAAATTTATGAAAGAATTTTGACTACTGATTGAAACAGTTTGTTCAATAGTTTTGATAACATAATTTTGAGAAAAATCAAATTTTCTTATTTCATAGATGGTATGTTTATCCATCTTTGGAATAGTCCAATTTGGAAGACATTGTTCAATTTGAGCAATTTGAAGTTCATGAGAATTAAAATCATTTGATGCAAATGATAATGATACATTATCAACCTCTTCTTCTGTTTAATAAACATTTGCTCTATTCTCATTTGATTGATTTTCTCTTCTATTTCTAGATCTCGATCTCCTTAACCAATTAGTTACTGAAGACATAATTGAATAAAGATGAAATTATTATAAAACAAAATAAAGACAAAACAATAGGATAGACAGGTTCTCACCAAGCCTACAACGGGACCACCCTTCAACACCTACACCGGCAACACGAGCAGACCAACGCTTAATAGCAGACATCCAGGTTAGAACAAGGTTTTCCTAAATATTTTGTGCCTACAGTGTTTGATAATAATCTCACCTTACTCTTATATGGCTCTAATACCAAAATGGCCTGGGAAAGGAAATCAGAAAAATAGGAAAATGATCAAATTGAGAAAGAAATATTCGTATTGATAATTGAAAGATTACAGAAATTAAAATACAAATTCAAAATTTGTAGAGAACAAACTTCTAATGTCAAATTCGCTCTGCCTTGAAATGAAAAAAGACCTTCCTTCTTATAGAGAAATCCGGACTTCAAACAAATCTTCATTTTGAAAAATCTTGAAAAACAACGTCTTCTTTTGTCTTCTCTTGAATAATTGATCAATCTTTTGAGAAGTGGGGAACAACATCTTGAATTTTCACATCACTTTTGGCAACTTTTGACCATCTTTATGAAAGTAAAATTTTTACTTTAATAAAGATAATTTTGGCATGCACATCTTGAAAAGAATGTCTTTTGATTTAATAACACAATAATTTTTGAATTCTTCTAGAAAACTGGGTTCTTGTAGTCATTTGATCCTTACAGCTTTCTCATGTGTAAGGAAATCATCATAACCTAAATCAACTAGGTCATCACCATTGTTTGTCTCTTGAGATTATTGATCCGAATCTTGAGTGCTTGATTTTTTAGATCCAGTTCTACAAACCTGTTCATAAATTTCAAATAATTCTTTCGGATCTTTACATTTTGATAACATTGAAATAATCCTTTGCTTTTCAGTCAGAAAATCTGCCTGATCTTCTTGTTCTTTCTTCGAGAACTTTGGAACTTCAAAATTTCTTTGTTCTTGAATCCATGATTGAACTGCTTTTGGACAGCATTTTGTTTCCTTGAATTTGGACCACCATTTGACTTTGAATCTTCTGGTAATCTTTTGAGTAAAGAATCATCATTATGATTCTGAAGCAGAAAGAAATCCCAGCAAAAGATCCAGGATACTTTCATATTGAAGGCAAATTGAAACAAAACATTGTCATGACGCTTTAAAAATGTTTTTGCCTCTCTTTTGAAATATTCATATCCTTGAAGAGTAAGACTAGGTAAAATTTTCTCTTCAAGTCCATGATACAAAAATCAAGTTGGAAACCATTTTGAAAAATGAGGATGAATTTTTTGATTGAAAAGAATGAACCACGGAGTAACAGGCCTAAAGAAAAAGACTCTGTACTAAGCATTTAAATTATCAAAATAATTGAAATATTCAAAAGTTGAAAATTTTGTTGAAGAGAGCTTGAGTCTTTTTTCTTCCCAAGGGTCTTGTCCCCAGTCTTCGTAGGACAATACCCTAAAGATACTGATTTTTGAATACATTGTTTCTAATTTATTTTGAGGATTTGAAGTATGATAAATTATGGCTGATCCTGTTTTTGAAAGGATAGTTTCATAATAATCTCGAGATTTTTTGACATTTGATGGCATAAACCAGAAATTGTTTAGAAAAATGTTTGGAAGACAATCATCCAAGTTTGAGTATCTGTTAAGCCAAGATGTTTCCATATCAAGGTAATTTTCAAAGATACTTTTGGTGAAATATTGAAAATTTTGAGATGGGTTTATTGGAGGAAGTTTTTCAGAACTTTGGACGGTTTTTTTGTAATCTGAAGGGGTAGCTTTTTCTTTGAGTTTATTTTGATTTTTTATTTGTTTATTATTATTTTTTTTTTTAAGAAGATGTGGTTAAAATGTAAGAAAATATTGTGGATTGATGTGAAAAATTATTTTATTAAAAGAATGTATAGTTCAAAGTAAGTTTTGAGGAAAAATAATTTTTAGATAAGTTGTGCTAAACAAATGCTTAATGTCCTTAAAAAAAAAAAGAATAAATATACCATTACCATGTCGTATTTATTAATGTTTTAAAGTATCTTGTAATCAAACATGATACTTCAAATTGGTTCACGTAGCAAGCATACGTCACAAAATCAACATTACATTGCTTCATATGTAATATTCATAAACGATTTAAATGTGTGATTGAAAATATTTTCGATAAATACGTTAATTTGGTACAATTTTTCAAGTGTAAAAGTTACATAATAAAAAGTCAAAACTTTTGATAGGGTGTGGTCTACATCATCAATCATGAAACTATGCGATCTAATGATTGAAACAATTTGTGCCAAAAGATGTGATCATTTAAAGAGACGCATGAAAATCTATAAATAGGACCCTCTTGATTCAATTTTTTTTAAACATCAAATCCATTCAAATTATAATTGATTTTTAATTATCTCATCTCTTCAAATATTCTATTATTTTTATTTTGTTGAAATAAAATTATGTTCGAATTATTTTCAGAAATAAAATTCCGTCCGAGTATTTTAATTCTTTTATATTCCATTCAAGAAAAACATTGTCAATAATTTGATTGGACCGACAAGGTTAGTAAAGTGCAGTACGTACTTTAGAATAAGTATTTTATCTTGAGAGACGTACGTCCATTTAATCTTATTAGTACCGGTGTAGGGATGAAATCTCTCTTAAAGTGATTTGCATTTGCATACTTCGCTTCATTTTATGTCCATTCGATTTTTCGTTCTTTTGAATGTAGTTCATAGTCTGACAACATAACACTGTATACTATCTCGTGTTGCATTCATTTCAATGATATAATCTTGCATCACACAAATCATCTCTCCAGGTTCTATAATTTATATCAAGATACATAGTATTATTATTTTATTATTTTATTTATTTTAAAAAAGCATAGTCATGGAACATCTCTCCCAAAGCAAAATAATATAATATAGACGAGTTACAATCGGAATGAACTAATCCACGACAAAGAAACTTACAACTGAAGGCTTTATAGGCCTCAATACTTATTACAACACAAAACTTAAATTGCTTGTTCTATATAGGGGATGAAGATGGAAATGGGACTGATTCATTAGTTTAGAATAACCTTTAGCACATCATAATCGATTACCCAATCCCAATTCTCAAATCCCCCTAGAATTTAAATAAAAATAAAACTAAAAATAAAGATAAAGATAAAGATAAAGATAATAAAAATGATAATATATAAATGAGGTTGTAAACATGACGATCACCTCGTTCAGCCTCGTTCCATCCTGCCTTAAGAGGAAATTGGGGCGGGAACGAGATGATAAAATCCTTGGCTGGGCGGAGACGAGGCCCTTTGCCATCCCAAGCTATATCCAATAAATGTTGACAAAGTTCATGGGGTTTTGAGATCATTGCCATGTGGTCAGCATATTTCATCTCTATAACCATTGAGGCTCCAACATTTTTAATTTGCCAGCGTTGGTACTCTACTTTTAAAGTTTTATCTTCGTCAGGTATGATATAAGCTCGCTTTACAGATCCATACTTCTCATTGGAAAATGCGCCCTTATTCGACAAATCATCCCAAAAATTAGAGATTGGCCTCATCAAATCTTTTGCTAACACCACATCCTGCCATAATGGATTGAAATCACTTGTTGGTCACTCAATGAATAGAAGTATTTCACTTCGATTACTCAACTTCTCCTTTGTTGTAAATTTGAAATTAAAGTTTAATATCTATACTTTTATTTCAAGCATTTAATTTGCCGAGTTAATGGAAATTTAACTTGAAATACCTAGTAGTGCACTGTATTTATCATCAAGTTTTTGATAAAAATAAAAATAAAAAAAGATCTTTTTGATCTTTTTTATTGCAGTTTGTTTCGTCACATGTTCTTTTGTTTACCTCAGGAGGACAGAGTTGATATAGTTTGGATGATGTGAACAGCGGACCAAAGAGCATTGACATGCCATGTTCTTCCGGTCTACCAATAGGTATGAATTGATTGTCCAAAATATCTTCGTTCGTAATTCCTTCTAACACCTGCCAAGCAAGTTAATGCAAGTAATTAAGTGAAAAATATCAACAAAAACAGAATAACTTTGTTTCCTCAAATAAATTTTGCTTCAAAATAATTTATGTCATCGTTGTTTTTATTATTTTTTTGTATGTCATCTCTAATTACTTGTTAATCTTTTGGTATGCTAAAAGCCAGAAAACTGTTAATATTTTAGTTAAAATTCGTAAGAAAGTTTATTTCTAACCAAGATTGTCGTATATTTATTTAAAGGTTGTTCTTTGAATTTCGTAAATATTTGAATTATATTAAAACATATGGGGTACCATTTTCTTCTTTAGTAATTTTCAATTCTAGGATAATAAGTTATTTCTAAGTGCAAGCACAAATTACCTGTTCGAAAAAATAGATTGGCGTATGTACAGTATCAGGCATCATAGCCGCAATAAAAACAGCAACAGAAATCTTTTGAGGGTATTTCTCCATTGCAAATGCCATGTTCATGCCACCAAGACTATGTCCAACTAGAACTATCTTTTCATCGGGCGGAATTGACTCCATTACGTCGAACAATGGCTGTGTATAGTCGGCAAATGTGCGAAGCTCATCTAGTTTTTTCGGGTTGATACCAGAGGCCCCGAGATCAATCGCCGTGACGCGGTGACCCTCTGCCTCTAGCAACGATTGTAGCTTGTACCAGCACCAAGCTCCATGACATGCACCATGTACTAGAACAAAATGTTTTTGCTGCTTTTCACCTGCCATTTTTCTGTTCATTAAGTAATATATAGAATGACCAATGTTTGTTAGTGGATAAAGAGATAATATATATTATTGATAGCAATAAAGCTACTTATAGATATCTTTGGTGGTCGGGAAAGAGAGAAATTTCATAAGCCAACGATGTCACGTAAAAAGATTTCAAGTGATTCACGCCAGCCAATTACCTAATCCTGTTTGAGATCTGCGGTGATTGAGAAAGAGGAGAAGTTTTAATTCATAATGTATTCCCCTAATTCACGCCAGCCAATGACGCAATGTTTCTCGTCCTAAAAAGATTTTACTATAATCACGCAAACCAATCACCGACCCCAAATTATCATTAAATTCTCAACTTTTTCGAACATGCAAACAGTACAGTTATTGGTTAACATGGGTTTGATTTTTAAGTTAGTTAATCATGAAATGACATTTGTACCCCTAATTTTGTCATCTGGTTGAGTGATGGCAGGGGTAAGAATGGCACTGCACATGTAAAAAGGAGTGTATATATGTCAATGGGTTCGAACGGTTCAGTTGATTTTTTGGATTGTTTGGCATTTGAAATGATATGAGCAGTAGATACAGTTGTGTATCCACCAACTTGGGTTGAGTAAGGGGTTGGGTACATAAAGGGGGTCACATGGGTACATAATGGTGTCCCCTTGTGTGTTCACGAACTTGGGTTGAGTAAGGGGTTGGGTACATAAAGGGGGTCACATGGGTACATAATGGTGTCCCCCCCCCCCCTCTCACGTGTACCACAAGGATTTTTCGGTTGAATAATGAACTATAACAAGAGTCAGAAGGATAAAGCTATAGACAGAACGTGGTTCATAGAATCTCTACGTAAATTCAAAAGAGGGTGACGTGCCGTGAAAAGGAAAAGAAAAGGACAATTCACTTGAAGAAAAATATGAATAAATTCATTGTTCTTATTTTTTGTCTAAATTTGTCTGGTCACTCCGGGATATCAAATGAAATTGAAATATTACATTTTTAATATCATTTTGATGTATTCACGACCTAGTTTTTCACGTATTTAATTTTACACGAAACGGCCAGTCATAGCAAATGTTACGGCACGTCATAGTATGTCATTCCAAACTAGTATTTTGAGATTTTCATTAACCAGTTAACTTTAAAAAAATCTTAGACGATCTTACGTTAGAGGAATATTTATAAAACTTCTATATCCGCTTGAAACTTGTTTCGAGAACTATATCATAGACATATCAATTATTTAAATGAACATCGAAAATAATTAAATGTACGTCAAACGTGTGTGTTAAAAAGACATGTAATACTCATTTTTTTTTAATTCAATTATTTGATTAATGTTTATCATTTTTGAGAGATAAATTTTTCAATATAATTTACATTATTTTATTAGAAAATTTTTTATGTTCTATGAAGTCAATTTCTTTTTTTCTTTTTTTCGTCGTAAAAGTTGCTAATAAAATCTTTATTATTTTATATGGGTTCTAAATTGTTATACTACTTTTTTAATTTCAATTATTTTTACATCTGAAAACTTATATAATCAATTTTTTTTAAATAATCTAATAAATTTCCTAATAAACTTTTAAATTTTTTTAAATGACGTCTCTTTTTACATTAATGTCAATTTTTTAACATTAATGTAAAACGACGTCTCTCGATTATTTAGGAAGTTATTAAAAATTTACTTACATAAAAAAAATTATATCATACCCTAAGTAAAAAATTCTAATAAAATGATATAAATTATATTGAAAAATTTGTTGTGCAAAAATAATAAACATTAATTAAATAATTGCATTTTTTTTAAAAAGACGAGTAATAGGCTTCTTTTTAACACATAGATTTGACGTACATTAATTATTTTTGATGTTCATTTAGATCATTCGATATATCTATGATATAAATCTCGAAATTACCTTCGAGAGGATGTAGAAGATTTATAGATTCAACTAGCATATGATCGTTGAAAATTTTTTAAAGTTAGTTCGCTACCGAAAATCTAGAAATACTAATTTGTAATGATCTACTTTGACACACAAAATTAACAACATGAAAAACTAGGAGTATTCCAAAATGATAGAAGAATGTAATATTTTGACTTCGTTTGATATCTCAGAGTGATCACGAAAATTAAGGGTCCTTTTGATTGAGAAGATGAAATTTGAGTAGAAAGAAAATAAATTTTAGGGAATTGAATTGCCTAAAAATTATTTTTCTGGGAATCGTAAATTATTGTGTTTGATTGGTATAATTTTTCACGTGAAAATTTGAAATAAAAATATTTTTTGGTGTTCATTTGGCTTTGTTTTATATGAAAATTTTCAATTAAAGAGATAAAATTTATTGGTATTGAGGATGAAATTTGTTTTCATTGTCAAAAAAAAATTTCAAAAAAATTATCTATCTTTTGATCTTCGTTTGGCTTTATTTTACATAAAATTTGACAATTAAAGGGAAATATTTTTTTACAATAATTCTTAAAATTTGTTTTCATTGCCAGCAAAAAAAACCTGGAATTCCGTTTCCCACCATATAGTTGGGAAAACAAATTCAATGAAAAGCAAGAAATGGTCACCGTATAAAGCAAAAATGGAACTTCAATCGCCAAAAAATAAATGTCTATCAAACACCAACAAAAGTGAAAAATTCATGAAATTGGAAGTGAATCAAACATACTCTAAGACAAAAACACAAAAATTGCCCCTCGGGGCACAACTCAACTGGTGGATCAATCAACATTGGCTTGCTTCCAGCGACATGGTGGAGAGTTCGATTCCTAGTGGGAACCTGCGGCCAAAAAAATTTGGTATGGAGCAATCATTGTGAAGGAGGGTCTCTTGTGCGCAAAAATGTACAGTCAATGGGGAGAACCTGTGATCCAGTTGAGGCATAGCCCGCGATTTACCCCCTCTAAGGTTCTAAAGGCATGGGTCTTGGAGGTTCAGGATTTAGTCTGATGTAAACTGGGATACCTGGATATCAAAAAAAAAAAAACACAAAAATTTGATGAATTTATTCATATTTTTTTCCAAGTAAATAGTACTTTCCTTTTCCTTTTCACGACACGTGACTCCCTTTTACATTAATTAACTATTGTCCTAATAAAATTATTATTATTTTCACGAAAATCAAGTAACTATTGTACGGAGTATCGTCCTTTTCTAACCGCTATATATAGAAGGGGTCACAGTATCTGTCATGCCAACTGAACGTTTTGTACTTTTGTTTGCATCCACATTTTGAAACGTGATCTTTATTATTAAAATGAAAAGTAAGGTAACGATAAATTTGGAGTTCACAATAAACAATTATTCTCACTGCATTTGTTTTCTTTTAGAATTTAGAATTTTGATAGAATTAACGTAGAAAGTAAATAAATTATTTGAGAAATAATTATATTTATGTTTTTATTATTTTAATTTTTAAGTTATAAAATATGAATTTTAAAATGAAAAAAAATACGCACACATATTAAATGGTTTAGTCGTGTTTAAATCGCAACTAATTTGACCCGACATTTTAAAGGTTAAAATTAATCGAACAAAATCAATTTTTTTGTTTCAACCTGACCTGAACCAGCCCTTCTTGGTTAGATTCGGTTGGTTTGATAGATTTTTTTTATTTTTTATTTTCAATCCCTAACATATTAATCTTATTGTCAAAGGAGGGCTTTTTAAAATGACACATTTATTGTTTTATTTTATTTTTAATGGAAAAATAGAGGTCGATGGCTCGTGTCTTGAACCAAACAACGTGATTTTCCATCTAGGTTGTCTGAAATGTCAAAAATGTTCTTGTTGCTTTTCACAAATCATTTTTTTTTATGCTTCATCAATATATATTTGGGAAGAATCGTAGAAAGTTGAAGCAAACGATAGTGTGATTATTTCTAGCAAACTTTAGCAACTATTTTTACACTAAAATAAAACTTGATACCTAAATGTAGAAGGACGAACATTAATTTATCTTTACTAATTGATTATGAGAAGTTTCGATCATTCCTTCATACAATAATAACAAAATGCAATAAATTTACTATTAATTACATCAATTGTTAACTATACATATCTAATAAAATTTGATTTATTTCTTAAATAAGTAATAAAGGTAGATTCTACAATTAAAAAAAAAACCCTCAATTATTTAAAGTGCTTTTCTCGGCACCATACAAAGTGAAAAGTGTATTCATTTTGAATTTCATCATGCCGATTAATTCACCTCAATTATTTAAAGTACTTTTCTCGGCACCATACAAAGTGAAAGTGTATTGATTTTGAATTCGGTCATGTCGATTAATTTACTTATTAGGGTAATTAATGTCTAATTTTTTATTTTTTTTCATTTAAACAATAGATATTTACGGTCGTAAAGTAATGTAGATAATTAACTTATGGAAAAAAAAGTTTGGCAGTTGGATTATAGTGGTTGCTGGAGTATCAAGGGTTGTGAATTGTGATTGGTTGTTAAAAGAAAATTATTATCATTATCATTATCATTCACGCATGTCTATGTCTTAACGGTAAGATTGGTTTTGATATTTTATGCATTCAAGATGCTCAAGTGTTGTCTTCTTCTTTGAGTACGGTCAAGTGGTTTTGTATTTCTCCATTTTTTTTCCGTCACATTTTAAACATGACGCTATGGTCTTTCTTTTGGGGGACAAAAACGATGTCTGCTAGCATTCTTTTTTAAAACAATGCCATTTTTATTTTATTTTTTTTAGCAGAAACATCATTGTTTAGATTTTCTTTTGAATTGAATAATATTGTTTTAAATCGTAGGTTTATTAGGATTTGTTAGTAAATGATAATTTTACCCCTGCATCTTCAGAAATATAGGGTTTTGATTCTTAATAAAACATACAAGTCTATTGACTTTTCTCTATTCTATTCTCTTTTCTTCTTTTTTACAACACGTCATCAATACGAAATCTTAATTCTTCAAAGTTTAGTGAATATGATAATTTTTATAAGCGAGATCATCTATCGCATGTTATCAAATTTACAAACTATTGAACGTGTAATGAATTCAGCTTGCCGCAGGTTTGCCAAATTAATTGTGTAATGGTTTAC